CTCTGGCTCTTGGCCACCAGCGGTACTTCCCTCCAGCCTTCGCCCAAAGCCTCACACTAGAAGGCTGAAGCAGATCCCAAGTAGGAATTTCTGCCCCCCTCCAACCCACACAAAAAGACCCCAAAGGGCTCCCAGCACGGGCGACTGCAAGGAGCTGGCATGGGCCAAGTTTGGACCGCTGCAGCCCATCCTCCAGCAGCAGAACAAACTTCAAGGGAACTCAGGGCCTGGTTGCGAGAAGTCCCATACTCCTCAGAAGATGGGGAAGCTCTCCTGTTTGCTGGCCTTCCACTCTGGCGTACCTTGGCAACTGGACTGTTTCTCTCCACCTCCCTTTCCTGTTTTGTGTGATGAATCAATGCGGGGGACATCAACCTAGTTTGACACTGGGGCGCTGTGTGCCCAGACCAGGCACTTTCTCTCAGCCCTGCCCGTCTCTACTTTGTGAGGCCTCTGGGCAGGAGGCCTGAGAGAAAGTGCCTGGTCAGGGCACACACAGCCTTCCAGGAACCTCTTCTGTGTTCCTTCTCTCAAGGGGAAGCTTTGTGGTCAATCTGAGTGAAGGAAGAAGAAGACGGGCAGACTGACGGTAGCTTGCTGACTTTGGTGGGAAAGTCGGTCCCATATTCCATAGCTCTAGTCACAGGACTGGCCCATTGGTCATCTCGAAGCAGCTCCTCCACACAGATGCATCAGCCTGCCCGGGAGTGGCTGGGCAGCTCCCCAGCAGGCTGGTGCACCTGGGTGGAGAAGCTGCTCCGGGATGACCAATGGGCCAGTCCTGTGACTAGAGCTATGGAATATGGGACTGGCCAGGCAGCTCATGGTGGGGCTGGAAATCTCTGCCATAGAGGGTGGTACGTGCAACGTGCAAGGAGTAGGCAAGCCCTCACCAACTGGAACAAGATAATGGTGCTGTTGCGGCAAGGGGAAGTGGTGGCACAGGTGGGCTGAAACGGCAGTGGTGATGGCCGGAGCCTTAGTGTGCAGGAGTGAAGGGCCACTTGCCTTTGCACATCAGTATCTGTATGACAAAATCGCTCAGATTCGGGAAGGGCTGGCCTCTGACTGGGTATGTCCAGACGGGATGACTGAGGCAGGTCTTGAGAGTGTTATCTGGGGGGAGTTCGATCCTGTGGCTCCCGAGGACATGGACAGGGTCCTGGGACGGCTGAACGCGACCACATGTTTATTGGACCCGTGTCCCTCCTGGTTGGTACTGGCTTCCCGGGAGGTGACACGAGGCTGGCTCCAGAAGATTGTTAACGCTTCTTTGAGTGAGGGGGTCCTGCCGGCCGCTTTGAAAGAAGCAGTGGTGAGGCCCCTCCTCAAGAAGCCTTCTCTGGATCCGGCTGTTTTGGCTAACTATCGTCCAGTCTCCAACCTTCGCTTCATTGCGAAGGTTGTTGAGAGTGTGGTGGCGCAACAGCTTCCCCGGTACCTGGATGAAGCTGTCTATCTAGACCCGCTCCAGTCCGGCTTCCGGCCTGGGCACAGCACGGAAACGGCATTGGTCGCATTGGTGGATGATCTCTGGAGGGCCCGGGATAGGGGTTGCTCCTCTATCCTGGTCCTGTTAGACCTCTCAGCGGCTTTTGATACCATCGACCATGGTATCATGTTGCACCGGTTGGCGGGGTTGGGGGTGGGAGGCACCGTTTTGCGGTGGTTCTCCTCCTACCTCTCTGACCGGTCGCAATCTGTGTTGACAGGGGGGCAGCGGTCGACCCCGAGGCACCTTGCTTGTGGGGTGCCACAAGGGTCGGTCCTCTCGCCCCTTCTGTTCAACATTTATGTAAAGCCGCTGGGTGAGATCATCCGTGGCTTCGGGGTGGAGTTCCATCAGTACGCTGATGACACCCAGCTGTACATCTCCACCCCAGGCCACCCCAATGATGCCCTTAAAGTGATGTCCCAGTGCCTGGAGGCCGTGCGGGCCTGGATGGGGAGAAACAGGCTCCAACTCAACCCCTCCAAGACCGAGTGGCTGTGGCTTCCGGCGTCCCGATATAGCCAGCTGACGCCATCGCTGGCTATTGGGGGCGAATCACTCGCCCCCACGGAGAGGGCTCGTAACTTGGGCGTCCTCCTGGACGCACGGCTGTCGTTAGAAGATCATTTGGCGGCCGTGGCCAGGGGGGCTTTTTATCAGGTCCGCCTGATACGCCAGTTGCGCCCCTTTCTAGATCGGGACTCCCTACGCACAGTCACTCAGGCACTCGTCACTTCCCGCCTGGACTACTGCAACGCTCTCTACATGGGGCTCCCCCTGGGGTGCACCCGGAGGCTCCAGCTGGTCCAGAACGCGGCCGCGCGGGGGATTTTGGGGGCGACGAGGCGCTCCCACGTGACACCTCTCCTGCGCGAGCTGCACTGGCTCCCGGTGGTCTTCCGGGTGCGCTTCAAGGTGTTGGTGACCACCTTTAAAGCGCTCCATGGCTTAGGGCCGGGGTACTTACGAGACCGCCTTCTGCCACCAATAGCCTCCCACCGGCCAGTACGCTCCCACAGAGTGGGCCTCCTCAGGGTGCCGTCCGCCAGACAATGTCGGCTGGCGACCCCCAGGGGGAGAGCCTTCTCTGTGGCGGCGCCCGCCCTCTGGAACAACCTCCCCCCAGAGCTACGTACAATAACAGACCTCCGGATTTTTCGTCGGGCCCTAAAAACCCATTTATTTCAACTAGCTGGGCTGGCTTGAGTCAAATTTTAAACGGATTTTAAATTGGAATGTTTTAATTACGGCCAAAATTATTTAATTATTTTAAACAGTTTTTAGATTTTGTATGTTTTGTATGTATGTCTTGTTTTTACTTTGGCTGTTCACCGCCCTGAGTCCTATATTGGAGAAGGGCGGTATAGAAATTTAAACAAATAAATAAATAAAAATAAATAAACATCAACAGCATTCCGCCTTCATCGCAGTACATTTGTGCCAGCTGGTGGCGCTAAGGCAGCCCTCATCTCCTGCTGCTTTGGGCTTGCAGCAGTAAGCCACATCCAAGAAGCCCTACAATAGAGAGAAGTGGCCAGTGCGGGCTCTGTGAGTGGCCATGAAGCGGGATCAGCATGGCCCATTCTTGCCCGCAGCATTGGTGGGCAGGATAGGGTCACCGCCACCGCCTGCTTCTGCTTTGCCTTTGCTAAGGCGGCAGGCACTAGAAGGGTGCTGTGCTCAGCCAGCCAGTCCCTTCCCGCCACTTGGTTTGGGGCAGTGCCTGACAGGCCTAGGTGCGGTGGGCAGGCAAGTGGGTGGAGCGAACAACTCGGGGATTTGGGTGGCCTTGATATGGCCAGGATGCCAGCAGGATCCCTGGCTGCCAAGGCCGGCGAGGCACAGTGTTTGGGCTCTGGTGCACTCTTCTCCTCCCAGGTGGCCGGAGTTTCACGTGCTGCTCACTGAGACTCCTGATCTCCTGTGACATAGGGAGGGGCTGGAGCTACTAAACTGGAGGCCAAGCTAAGTGCCTGAAGGATCCTATCCCATCACTGGGAGTCCAGGCGCTTCAGCAAGTGGCGTGCGAAACTTCGGCCAGGCTCCTCAAGAGATGGAATTTGCAGGGGCCGATCTAGCGCCCGGGCTGGCTACAACACAAATGTTCATTGCACGTAACCAGCCCAGGGGCTATAGTTTGAGGACCCCTGATTTAGTGCAATATAAAAAATGCAAATAATTTTTCTGCGGACCACTGGTTGGTGACCGCTCCTTTAGAGAATAGATTGACTCCTCCTCCTTTTCATTAAATTAGATATACACAATTCCAGCAACCATTCTTTATATCATTAGCCTCCAACCCCCTATTCATCTTTGTTGCTCTTCTCTGCACTCTTTCTAGAATCACAACATCTTTTTTACAACATGGCGACCAAAACTGGATGCAGTATTCCAAATGTGGTCTTATCAAGGCATTATACAATGCTTTGATTTGTTCTTTTTTGAGCTGAGATCCTATATATATTGGGGAAGTTTCTGCTGTCCCTTGAAACAGAGTCTTGACTACAACTTTAGGGTCTCCCACATTAAAGATCAAGTGTGATTGATCACCAAAGTTCAATTCAACTGATACAGAGAACATTCAAAAGCATGTTATTTCTAATATTTTTGAAGGAGAAAGTACAAGTAGTCCTTAACTCACAACCATTCATTTAGAAATCATTTAAAGTAACAACAGTGCTGGAGAAAGTAATTTATGACTGGTCCTTGAACTTATGACCGTTGCAGCATCCCCATAATCATGTGTTCCAAATTTGGGCACTTAGCAATCAGCATGGTTGCAGCGTCCTGGGGTCATGAGATTGATTGCCAGTTGGCTTCCATCAAGCAGTCAATGGGGGAAATTGGATTTATTTAACAGCTGTGGGATTCACTTACCAGCTGCAGTGATTTGCTTATAACAAAAAGATTGTAAAATCATCTGGGACAGAAATTCTGGTCACAACTGTAATCGTAAGTTGAAGACTATCTCTGTGCATATCATATGGACACAAACCATTTGTTTTTATTTCCAACCTTTTATTAAGTAAAGTGCCCAGAATCAGAGTCAAGCATTTTTTCAAAATCAAGAAATAAACACATAATACCTAGTCCAAGTGCCTTTCTTATTTTGCCAAACTGTCCCAAAGACGCTCATTTTGTGGACCCGGTCATGAAACTGTAGGTGCCAGGCTAATCGAAGCCTAACTGGAAGACTGGGAACAATTAACTTTCCATCCTCCTTACCGATGTTGAATCAGAACCCCCCCCCCAAAAAGCCCTTATATTTTAAAAAATCTCCACACTTCACTTTAGATCTCAACTTATAGTGGGATCTTCACCACGGAAAGCCAGCTGCTGTATTCTCTGCCAGCCCTGGATAAATCTCAAGGTTAGACCAGAGGAAACTGATGTAGTGACTGGACCATATTCTGAAGCTACACGAAATATATGATGGAGATTAGGCAAAATACTTACCTGACCACCTCCCTCTGGCCAGCTGTCATAAACAAGACACCTGAAGAGCCAGTATCTTTACTGAATGAATTTATTGTTTTTGAACTAAAGTTGTTCACAGTTATTTAACAAGGGATACATCAGAAGGTTCCTCTTTGTCCTTTGAACTGTTAAATAATATCAGATTGTGTCCACTAGTGAGTGTGTGTGCATGTGTCATCCAAGTACAAAATAGGAAGGATAACAAGAGGTATTGCTTTCATTTATTCTTATGTCTTGTGTAAATGATCTCCTTCCTGTGTGTACTATATGGGCTATTATTGTTATTATTATTATTATTATTTGAAATCCCAGCCTTTTGTAGAGGTACAAGTTAACAGAAGCCTTAAAAGCTATACATAAAGGAAGAAAAACCAGGGAAACGGACTGAGGGTGGTAGAAGAGAAGCTTTGGAGAGAATGAAGGAGAAAATGGAGGCAGAAAAGACAACAGAAGCAAGAGAGAATAATTTACAGCAATATCATGCAATTAAAACTGCCTCCAGATCTCTACATTCTCACCTCTCTCTGTTCCCAGCCACCACCCTACCAAGGTCTAACATGCACACAGCAATAGAAGAGAAAAGGTTAAGATTAGGAGAACCAAACCAAACCACAACGAAAAACACCCTCCACTTTTGTGGATCTTTTTCAAAATATTGGTTGTTGTTTTTCTTCTTCTTCAAACCTATATACAGGAAAAACAGGTCCAATAAGGGCAGAATGAACCAGGACAAACATAGAAATAAAAATAATCGGAAAGAAATACAAACAGTGAAAGAGAAATCTAATATTAACATTTAAAAATATTGCAGTTTAACATACGCTTATAGGAACCCAAACAATAGCAATTGAAGATAATAAGGGGACTGAATATTAACTCTACATTTAAAACATACTGGATTTTAGAATTTTGTCGTCATCTTTTTTTTTTTTTTTTGCCTGTCATTTATGGTATTTTAAAAATCTTCCTCTCCAGCTAGACTTGGAGAGAGAGAAAGAGAGTGGGAGAGAGAAAGAGACATCAAATGAAAAAGAAGAAAAGGAGCATTGGTGAGAGGAACAAGTTGTGTTCTTGTTGAAATTCCACCCCCCCCCCCAAATAAATACAAATCAATGTCACCTCTATTCAGTAATGAAAGCAGAAGATATATCTAACATCTTAAAATTTTAAATATATATATATATATATTTATATTTATATATATGCATTATAAATAATAACCAAGACCTAATAATAACTTAACTACACAGAAAATCCAGCCCACTCATCCTTCTCCAAAAACAAAGGGAAAAAAACCCCCAAAACAAATATAAAAATATCTTGCAATACTTTTAAAAGTTTACAGTAGCTTTGTGTTGAACTCGTCCATAGTGCTATCGCCTCCATAGTTTCTTCAAATGAACTATGTCCCAGTGGTTATACACACAGGCACGCACAAAGGAAAAAGGGGGAAATCTATTTCTCATCTTATAGTCTGCTTTCGCATTAAAAAAACAAAACAAAACAAACCCAAACGTACATACACAACCCAAATAAATAAACAAAACCAGCAAATAAATAATACTGATATATCAATGCAGCACTAATGACACCATAATTGCATCCAGATGTGTGATGTAGCAGATAATTCAGCCGGCCGAAGGAAAATTCCAATGTGGAAGGAAAGGTCTGAGAGAGCAGGTTGAGAAGAGAAGAAGTCCTAACAGCGGTGGCGATGATGGTGAAGGTGGTAGCCAGAGCAGAGCTTGGCAGCAGGTGAGGCTGTGCCCCAGAATTGGATTCTTGTCCTTTGTCCTTGCTGTTGATAGCGGACTTTCCCTAAGTTTCAGTGTCCATGTTTGCTTGACTGTTTCCTTGTATTTTTGTTTCCCTCAAGTTTATGGCTGCCTCTCCAGCCATTTGGAAAAAAAAAACTGATTTGAAATTACAAAAACACAAACACAATTTGAAAAACAATTCGGATGGGAAGAAAGAGATGGAGGGGCGGGGGGACAGTTCTTATAAAAATCTTAATATGGAATGAGAACAATATGCCATCCTATTCCCTATCCTCCCCCCCGCACCCTCTCCCAGAGTCTAGTTTCACCAGGAGGAAAGGGTGTAGTCACAGCCAACGTTGCTTTCCTGGAATTCCAACTGTGACAGGTTGCAATTTCTCAGCTGTTCTCCGCACAGAGCACCAAAAGAAAATTGTGTGTTGAGGGCAAATGGAATGGAGGAGACCCATTTCCTGCAGTGGGAGACAGGAGGCTGGAAGTTCCCCTCCCTCCCCCCAAACCAGTCCGTGGACAGTCTTACATCACTGGCCTTCCGTGAACAAGCATTCGCGGAGCACAGAAGGTGAAGATGTTGGCTGACATGTTAACTTTTCGGGATAATTCCTGGTAGTAGATTGGAAACAAGTGGTGGTATCAGAAACACAGAGAGAACACAGGAATATAATGGGGATGGTGGAGTCAGAAGCGGGGGATATGTTACGGTGAGGGGGAGGAGTTATTGCAAGGAAAGTACTGGGAGGAAGAAACAAAACCCAAACAAACAGGATTTGCCAAAATGGGTTTGTCAATTGTTACTTTTTTTCCCCTTTTATATGTCTGTGTGAGTGTCTATGTGTGTGTGTGCATTATTTGTATAGGTATCATATAAATCTATATATGTATATGTGTGGATTATATATATTTACATGTGCATGTATATATATAATTTTTAAATATATATATATGTATGTATATATATACACACATTGTTTTTCCATACAAAAATTTACTATAGACAGTTTTGTCCTATGGTAGCACTATTATATACACCCATCTAGTTTAGAGGCTAAAGAATACTCATTCATTTGGGGAGCTTTTCTTCACTTTTCTAGGTGATATTATTGGATTGACTTAATTTTTTTTTTCTCAGTGCATTTATTTAAGGTTGGTCTTGTAAGCCGAGTGATGAGGCCATCTTTGCCTTCTCTTTGCCAGCGGGGAACTTAGTGTCTCCTCTAGACCCATAGTCATTTTTATCGGAATCGCTCCGCTTGCTGTTTGTGCTATGCTTGGTTGGCGTGCCGGGGGGATGGCTCACCTGCCCGTTCTTCTCGTCTGAAAAAAGTTGTTTAATTACGTCAAAGAAGTTACTCAATGGGCTGCCTGGGTATACAAAACAGAGGAGACAAAAACAAAAAGAAAACAAAGAAAGCAAGAGAGAGAGAGAGAAAGAGAGAGAGAGATAAAGGGAAGAGGAAGAGAAGAGAACAAACAAACAAATGAACAATGGGGTTTTAAACAAGAAGAACATGATGAGCGGTCCAGAGCCACGTGCATGGGGGTGTGTGGAGGATGAAGACAATGAGTAAAAAAGGAAGAGCATCAGGAAGGGAGCACCGCCTAAGCGTATGGAAACCCTGGAGCAAGGAAGGACCCATTGGGTAGCTGGAATCCTGCCCTGTTCAGCACGTACGGAATATTTATCCAGCAAAGCTATTGCAAGGCATTATGCAGGCTGCTATGCGGCAGAGTATCACGATATATCACGATGGGCTTATATACAATTCTTCTGAAATTAACCTAACTGAAGTGAGTCATGAATCATGGAACCTACGCATGCTGACTAGGAATTCCATTCAATTGAATTCAAGGAACCTTCCATGCAGGCAAGTGTGCTCGAAGTAACTTAATTATCTATATTAATTAGATTATTCATTTCAAAGAGAGGAGATCCGTGTGCATAAAGGAGGAACACGCAAATCTGGTTCTCCTTTGAAATGAATTTTGCACCACTTGTAAAAAAAAAAAAAGCATTCCTAACCATTTTCTGTATGAGTACTTTATTTTGTATTTTAATAATGCTACCGAACCTGATTTGCCAGTCTCTGTCATCTGCTGCAAAGCAGACTCGCTCTTTAGATTTCAGAGAATCCATATTGCTGAGCACATTGTAAGCCGCCCTGAGTCTTCGGAGAAGGGCGGCATATAAATCAAATTTTTTAAAAAAAATGCATCTGGCAAAATGCACAGGAATGAAGAAAACGAAACACGCATCTACAGACACAATGCATTCTGTGAACTCTCCGCCTCTTCATTTCATGACTAAGTCCCCAAATCTTAATGGTGTGATAGACTGTCTTGAGCAACCCAGACATGCCATTGTGGTGGTAAAAGGCATTTCTCTCCCCCGCATATGAAGGTGTATTCGCTACTAACCCTACCCTGAAAACCGATATGAAAAAACAAAGCCAAACTGATTGATATCAGGACAGGACACAATCTGGAATTACCAGGGCTGCCGGCTAGACAGGGAAGGGTTAAAAAAAGCATCCCAGAAGAAGGGGCAATGGTAAAATTTGTCTATGGTTGTCAAGAAAAAAAGACAGGCATGACATCACTAAGAGCTAAGCTTGACTTGAAGAGGAGTTGTTTGTTTGACCTCAAAGGCGATTCTCCTGAATGGTTGAAATTTGAGCAAAATACAAGTTAGGGAAAATTGGATTGTGTTTGTAAGGTGTTAGGGTAATTCCATTCCTTGGGACAGAACAGTCAGATATAAGTAATTTTTTAAAATGAAGTTAATAAAGTTTTGGATCCATGCTATCTCAAAAACCTGCACTTAAAGCAGGTAGCAGCTGCTATGGTGCTCAGCCACTTGCCTTGTCTTTGTTGAGACAAGAAAGTAAAAATTCAAAATTCAAATTCAATAAATAAATAAATAAAAATACATATCTGATCACCACTTCAACTTGGAGATGATGTAGCAACAGGGCATTGAATGAAATTTCTCACTGAGATTTGTTTGGAATCATTGATTTTTAGAAAAAATGCAACATTTAAATAAAGATCGGACAATATTATACTAGTGTAAAGCTGCTGCACATACAAGAAGATTCTCATTGTAAGGTATAGACATTCCGGAAAATTAATTCGACTAGAGAAACATCTATATTAATTTGTTATTACAAAAGTAACTCAAAAGAAATCAGGAAAATTTATTGTTGACATTAATGCAACAGTTTCTTTTGAATACTTTTCCAAATGACTATGTCTCTTGAGGCTTTATTTTTTGGAGATGCATTTTAATAGATGCATGTGCACGGTTTCGTGCTGATTTACAGCAGGAATGAGTTAAAAATCATGTCACTATCTCATCTGTGAAATATAAGTAGGTAGGTAGGTAAGTAAGTAAATAAATAATAATCTAGTCGATAACAAAGCAGCAGAAAATGACACAATGGAGACAATCCAGTAAGATATTAACAGATTTTTCTTATTCTGTGGAGCTAACTGCATATTCTATCTGGGTTACTTGCCCTTTTCAGATTTAGGTGGCTATTTCACAATACTGAAACTCAACAGCATATTTTTTACTGAAGAAGTCAGACAGCTACTGAAATAAATAAGAGACCAAAGGCAATAACATTAAGATATATTTTGATTATACGTCGAATAGGCATATAGTAATTTTGATATTTTATAGGATTTTAGGGGATATTTTCCTAGATGCATTTCATAAACCAGAATACCTTCCTTTAGTTAATAAAACTGAACAAGCTGAAAAAAGAGTAACACAAGTACAAAAAAAGGAAAGCAACATAACAAAATGATATAAGGGCTATAGATACAGGGTAGTCAGATCCCATAGACAGTCTATAGGAGACCATCAGACTAGAATTTCTGAATACCAAAGAAAATGTCACTGAACTTAAAAATTTTCAAACGCCATGCATCAAACAAGTAAGGAAATATCTTTTAAAAATGGCAATTGATTTGAACACTGTTTTCGTACACCCCATATTTTTTGTTTACATAATAAATTAAATAAAAGAAGAATTGATTTTATTGTAACCATCCATCCATAACCTACTTCTATAAACAACTTCTTCATAAATCTGAAATAATACCAGGTTTTTAATCTGCTGAATAACTGGGATCATAAATTTGTCTTTCCAGTGTTCAAAACTAGTCTCTTAGGAAACTAGGAGTTTATTTAGGAGAACATGGAGAATCCACAGTGGAAATGGAATATATTTATTTATTTAAAAGATTTATATGGCCGTCAATCTTGAGCAACCTTGGGCAGCTTAGAACGACCATAAATTTCTTAGCTGTAGTTTTTAGCGCAACTTGAATCATGTTAAACATTGATAAACACTTGACCAACTGATTTCAGATGATGGGACCTTTCTCTAATACCCTGGAAAAATAGACCAGAAGGCTAATTCCTATGATAAATACCTATCCTCCACATTCACCCTTTTTCACAAAACAACAATCAGACATATAAAGAATTGAAGAGGATGAGTTTCATGAAAGCCTTATGTATAAAAATGATTATATAGCAGGAATAATAAATAAGGCATAGAAGCTTCTTTTATCTCAGAATAGCTTATTTGGGTACCTGCGTGGCTTTGGACCCTGTATCTTCATATGCAAAATGAAACCAATGAACAGAAAGTGTGAAATAAAACTGGTAAAACACTGTAAGGGCTTCTGGGAAAGTCAAGAGAATATTACACATTTCTAAATTTTCTAAGAAACGCATTCAGCAAGATCAAAGAGAAAAGGAAGTGCAGAAGAAGCATGGGGAGAAAGCATGGACGTTGAGCTCCGCCCACAGATCAAAGCAAAAGACAAGGGCAAACCAAAAAAATGCAGGATATTTGCTTGGAGGCTTCAATGTAATGTTAATATTTTAATCTGGATAGAGGATCTATATTTTCCTCTTTTTTTGCTCGGTAATTTTTCAATCCTATGTGGTGCTTGTTTGCTTTCAACAGGAAAGGTTCACCTTTATGGCACCTACTGTGGTGACTTTAATTAAAGCATCTAACTGAGTCTGATAGAGCTTGTGAAATTTTGATGAAACAATGATCCAAGGGAGAAAGGAATGATTAGGGAGTCAGAGATGGCAGCCCTTCCATTTGACTTCTCCACAGTACCTGAATTGAGAATAAAATACGTGTCTTTTTGGAAATGGCCAGTTCATATTGTTGCAGTCACAATTACTGATATTAAATTAAATTAAAAAGTTAAGCAGGATCTGACTTGCTTAATACTTGGAAGAGAGACCACTGAGAAATCTCAGAATGCGACAGTAAAATTGGAATTAAAGAAATATCTCAGAAGAAGCCTGCAACAAGTCACTTTCATTGCTACTAAGAAAACACTATGATATGCATATATAATTACTAGGAGCTGAGTTTGACTCAAACAAATCCCTACCTTATCTCCTTAGAAGTAAGCCAATTGGCTCAATTATCCAAGATTCCAGGCAGTTTGAGAAACAATTAAAAAAACAGATTTCTGCATGTCGTGGTCTTTTGAGGCAATGATTATTGGCTTAAATGAATAGTGGACATTTGAAGTTCTGCAAATGAATTAATTTTACAGTTAAAATCTCATATTGATTGCTCTAAAGTTTCAGCCACTTGGACACCTCATAGCAGCGAGAGGGTTATAAGAGAAGTAATGTCATAGTAAACAATAGCATGTTTTATTGCATTATACTATTGTTTAAATAAAGTTACCAGAACATGCATGAAAAGGACTGAATATTTTTATACCTTGGAATATTATGACTTTACTCTGAGTAAGATGCTTATGTAATTAAAATATTGGTTAATCCTATAAAAAGGCTGGGGATAGCAAGATTTTTTTTTAACTCAAAGAAATGAATGCCATCCAATTACAGGTCAGGAAGCAACTACCTGAATATAAAAGAAGTAAATGAGAAGGACCTAACATCTGGATGAACTATAAATATGGCATAAATAATGTTGCCTTCTGGCAACATTATTTATCAGAAAACGAGTTAAATAAATTTAATTCTAAAAATCTTATCGATGAAAAGAAGGACCCTGACATCCCATTAAAGCACTGTGTAAGGCAAAAAAAAAAAAAAAAAAAAATCAGAATTTCCAAAGAATTAATGTAAAAATAGCCTCCAAATGAATTATATAAGCACCCTCAGCTTTGTGATCACAGGAAGCCAGTAGAGTAGCATCAAAGTTTTAAAAATTAGTCTCAAAAACCAATACAACTATGATCTTGATCAAGACATAGAAGCCATTTAGATTTTTATATTTTGATGCTCTATGCATGAACATATTAGATACAAGGACAATGAGTTTTCAATTGCAAATTACTGATGGTAGAGG